AATATGTAGGAACAGGTAAGAAAACTACAAAGTCCAGAGGACTATGGTCCATGCCTAGAAAAGAAATCAGTACCCTCACATGAAGGTAGTTGGATGGAATGAAGATTTAAGTGGTCACTTTTTTTCTTTTCTTTTTTTTTTTTTTTTTTTTTTTTTTTTTTTTTTTTTTTTTGTATTCAGTTATTTGCTTTCTAATTTTTTTTTTGGTGGAACCAGGGATTGAACTCAGGCCCTTGAGCTTGCCAGGCAAGCACTTATTCTACTGAGCTATCTTTCCGGCCCCTTTAATAATATTTTTTAAAAACTAAAATATATAATGATGGTGGGTAGGTGTGGCACTATCTAGAGGGACATAAGGATATAGAACAGATTGAACAGACATAGTGGAGGCTGAAGCTGTAGGTGACCTCAGCTTTGAGGCCAGCCAGGGCTACTTGGCAAGACCATGTCTCAAACAGAAAAAAACAGGCTGAAGCTGTAGCTAAGTGGTAGAGCATGTTTATTGCCCTGTGCAAGGCATGGAGCTCAATCCTCAGCATGTGCATTTACCACGCACAGAGTGCAGAATAAGGTTTTTGTTTTGTTTAGCATGGGCTGAACTTTTTTTTTATTAATGTACTTGGTTGTTATAGGGTCTCACTATGCAGCTTGGACTCCTAGTGATCCTCCTGTTTTCAGCCTCCCCAGCGCTGGGACTGTGGTGGCACTCTGGCTGGCTCAGCCTGCCTAGGGGCCGGGTTGTCACAATGAATGGTGCCGGGGATGGAACCACTGTCCCTGTGCTTGCCTAAGCTTGCCTAGCAGGTGCTTTAGTTGACTGAGCTATCTCACCGGCCTGGAATGAACTTCTTGAATGCAAAGCCTGTGTACTAAGCTACATCCCCAGCCCGTTTTTTTTTTTTATTTCGAGACAGGGTTTATGTTGTCCAGGCTGGACTTGAATTTACAGTCCTCCTTCAGCCTCCCAAAGTATTGGGAAAATAGCTTTTGTGTTGCGCTGTCAGTGAAAAAGCTAGAATCTAAGTTATGCTTCTGAACTACCATCCAAGATAACACTGAAGTTTCTAGATCAACCTGAGGCACTTGTACTATCTCTCCACATCTTCCTTGACTTAAGCCAACTTTTGCCTATGCTGCTCTTGTTTCTCAGGGCTGCAGGGAATTAAACACCTTCCATTGAGTATAAGCACCATCCTTATAGGCTAAAGCCTTTCCAACTTGCAGCCTGTGGGCCACTTGCTCTTTTTAGATGTTAAAATAAAAATACAGTAAACAGAAAGCTTTGTTGCTTACTTACATTATATATTTCCTATGTGGCTCAAGACAATTTTTTTTTTAAAGTTTCACTCAAATAGTGAACAATTCTTGTTCACTCAGTATAGTCCAGCCAAGCCAGAAGTGGAGAGTCACTAAAGAATTGTAGGCTGAAGGACTGGGGTTGTATAGCTTAGTGGTACATTGCTTGGCTGGCATGCACCAAGTCCTGGGTTGCAGTACAGCTTTGGAAAGTCTTTATTTTGAGGCTGGGTTTTGCTATGTAGTGCAGACGGGCCTCGAACTTGTGTGTGTAGCCAAGGCTGGAGGCTCCAGATCCTCCTGCCTTAGCCTCCTGAGTACTGGGATTACAGGTGTGTGCCTATGTTGTGTGGTTCAAAACACCTCTTCTGTCCATTATGTGCTTTACGTTTGCCTCAGCCTATATTTTCTCACAAGACTCAGAATCACATGATTCCTGGCTAAGAAGCAAAAGCAGTCATCCCATTCATCAGTGACTTTGGATGAAGACCGGTAATAAAGTCAGGTGCAACTGGAGAGGAGACCCTGGAGGAGGGCCAAGCTGGGACTGTAGGGCATTGCATATGAGCCACAGCATGTTTACCCTCTCAGAGGTCACAAGGTGATACCTTCATCATGGTCAGGATTATATCACTGTATCAAGCTAAACGCCATCGAGCAGTTGAAGGTGCTTAATCAGAATCTTAAGTCTTTCTGTGATCAATACTGAGTCCACAATTGGCCACATTGGGCGTCAATTGTAGGAGTCCTCTCCAGGTTCTCTCAGTCTAAGAAGTTAATATTTGTAATCCCAAAATTACATTATTAGAATCCCACCAAGTTTTTTTTTTTTTTTTTTTTT